ACTGTAAAGGAGCAAGGCTCTCTGTCCCAAGATAACATGATCTTATAAATCAGAAATAAAAAACCACTAAAGAGACTGTAAGAACTAATAAAGTTACATGATATAATATCCAATATACAAAAAACAATTTCTATACACTAGCACAAAAGTCCAAAAACAGAATTAAGAAAAAACTCCACTGACAATAACATAAACAACATAATACTCAGAAGTAAACTTACTAAAAAGACTCATACACTGAAAACTATAAAACATTGTTCAAAGAAATTGAAGACCTAAATAAATGAAAGATATCTAGTGTTCATGAATTGGAAGACTTACTGCTAAGACCACAATACTCCCCAAACTGATCTACAATTAAACACCATAGCTAGCAAAATCTCTGCTGGCTTCTTTGCACAAACCGGCAAACTACCCTGTAGTTTAGATGGAAATTTAGGGGGCCCAGAATAGCCAAAACCATCTTGAAAGAAAACAAAGTTGGAAGACTCACACTTTTTAATTTCAAAACTTATAAAGTTACAGTAATCATATAGGTGGTACTACCATAAGAATAGGTGTAAAAAATAGATGGATTAGGGTCAGCAGATGGCATGGTCGTTAAGGCACTGGCCTTCCCACATGGTTGATAGTAGTTCAAGTCCTGGACCTGGTGGCTTGCTTGCTCGCTCTCACTCTCTCTCTTTCTCTCTCTCTCTCTGGTGAGTGCATGTGCCCTATAGCAAAATTTAAAAACAATAATAATTAATAAAAATTAAAATAAATAATTCTAAAAGAAAAGAAGAAATCAGTGGGTCAAACTGAAAGCCCAGAAATAAGCATTATGTTCATGGTGAGTTGTTCTCCCATAGGTTGCAAAGACAATACAGTGAAAAGGAGTAGTCTTTTTAAAGAATTATTTATCAAACTGTGTTATTATCATTACTTTTTTTCATTTGACAGAGAAAGAAAAAGAAAGTGAGAAAACAAGCCACCAGGTTCAGGACTCAAACCACAGCCACCCAAGTAGAAGCCCAGCGCCTTACCCACCACGCCACTTGCCAGCCCCAAGTGTAGTCTTCTCAACAAAAAGCTCTACAACTACTGGATATTCACATACAAAAGAATGGAATTTTTTTTTTTTTTGAGAGGTTTTTGCTATAGGGCACGTGCGCTCGCCAGAGAGAGACATAGAGACAGAAAGCGAGAAATCACCCCCAAGGGAGGATGGTCACGCCGCAATCCCTTCTCCTCCATTCTCCTCTTGGGATCTTGGGCACGCACGCACACGCACCCGACGTGAGTTTTAAGCTACCGGGTCTGGGACGCGAACCATGGTCGACTACGTGGGAGTCCAGCGACATAGCCATTACGCTAACTGCTGGTTCCCAAGAATGGAATTATATCCATGCCTCATACTATATACAAAAACTAATGCAAAATTAATGAAAAATCTAAAAGGTCTAAAACTATAAAACACAAAGGAAAACCTTAGTGTAAATCTTAAAGACCTTACTTTAGAAATAGCTTATTAAATATGGCACCAAAAAAAGACAAGCAATAGGAAAAGTAGAAAATGTGACTTCACTAAAACTGAATGTTTGTACTTCACAGAAAGAACACCATCAAGAAAGTAAAAAGGCAACCTATGGAACTGTTAAAAAAAAAATAGTGCAAATTATCCACCTGATAAAAAGGACTTGTATCAGGAAGATGTAAAGAATTCTTAAAACAATAAAAAGACAACTAGCCTTATCAAATAGTGGGCAGAGGATT